AACTTTAAGATGGGATGAGTCTACTTGGTAAGTTAAATTTAAAATATGAATAATAACTCTATTTGATGTGAATGTTATAATAATTGTATTATTTTATTGTGTGTTAAGTTGGATTCCACCGCAGAAGGGTCTCCACCAGGTGACAAATACCATTAAGATGTTTGATGCGCCTTACCCAAGTTTTGCAAAGGTGCCTAAGGATACAAAGATGGAACGGTTCAAATATTGGAAAGTAATAACAGTTAATTAATTTTAGCTAAGTGTAATTAGATATTGTTTCTTGTAATTCTTCTAATGAAATTGTATTTATGTAGAGCAACTTCTCCATTCTCCCCCAGGATGAAAAGATAATTTTCAAGGCATGAAAGAGTCGCACTGCAAAGCGACTAAGACAGATGTACACTGAGGCCTTTCAAGATCCATCATCTGCTGATTGGATAGCACCCAACTTCCTTCATGTCTTGCAGGAGTATTGGGGTACAGATGAGTTTAAAAATCTTTCCGTAAAGAACAAGACACACAGGGCATCCTTAAAAGAAGGATCATTGTATACTGGTAGTTCTATGATTTTGGCTGGCACTAAAGCAAACTTGGTATGTGATTTTTAATTTTCTTTTAATTATTTTATTCAATCTATAATTGATATTTGAGATGGTAATTTAATTAAAATTGCAGGAAAAGTCACTGAAGAGACTACCTACACATGGAGAGGTGTTCAAGGAGACACATACTTGCAAGGGAGACAAAACCTTGTGGGTTGATACACGATCTCAGGCTACATATGTAAGTCATTCTTATCGACACTATATGTTATTATTAATGATTTATCAAATAGTTTTCGAGACTAATATATTCTGCATTGAACTATAGGATGATTATGTTCAAAGGCTTGAGGATACATCTTCTCAAGATCCAGAGTCAGTTGATGAGAATACTATATGGTCAGAGACGGTGGGTGACCTTTATAAAGGCCGCATTTATGACATAGGGAGCCGCTTTGCAGACTCCATGTCCCTTACATCTGTCACCGGAGATGCCCCTTCTCTCGTACCTGAGGAAGTGGAGGACATGATCCGCACTCAGGTTCATGCCCTCAATGAAGAACTGCAGAAGCAAAATGAGGAGATGTGGAAGACCAAGGAAAGTGCATGGAAGAAGAAGTGGGCGAAGAAAATGGAGAAGAAGATAGAGAAGAAGGTGGCATCGAGGATGCAGAGGGAGGTGCAGAAATAGATGCAGCAGCAGTATATGCAAATGCAGCAGATGTATGCATACTTTGAGGTCATGAGAGCAAGCACCTCTACACCTCTTCTTCCTCCTCCTCCACCAGCTCCAACACCACCAATCTTCAGCTCCATGCGTCATTCCTCCTCTACTAATGGCGATACATTTTCGGAAGATGATCACACTAATTATTAGTGATATACAATGTTATTTTATTTTTGATATTATTTTTTTAGATGTTTACTTCTTCATTTGTAATGACATTTTAATTTTACATTTTATAAATAATTTTTTATTTAAATATATAATTTTGTACTTTTTATTATGTTTATAAATTGTGATAATTAGGAACAGTAAGGAATAATTATGTTTATAAAAAAATAAAACAATTTTTTTGAAATTTTGTAAATGAATTACAGACAGATTTTTCTGTCTGTAAATTATAGATAGATTTAAAAATCCGTCTGTAATGTTAAAATTTGTCAGTAATAATAAAAAAATCTATCTGTAAATCCATCTATATTTGCACGTTTTTTAGTGGTGAAGTGAGTCTTATAATTGTGAACTACTTATGCGATATTTGTTTCTCTTTCCTATTTATTATGGTTATTATGCCCTCATTGAGTTTGTGTGACCCACCAATTTATTTAATAATTAGAGATTATCAAGTAACGACATTGCATGTTCCTGAGAATATCAGTCCACCCCAAGAAATATATATATATATATATATATATATAAAGTTACGTCTTGAACATTCTATATTTATTTAATAGTTAAATTTTTTATTTTTAATATGTATAATATTATAGCTAAGTTAAAATTTGATTAGTTTTGATTAAGTTATAAATCAATCTTGATAGATTATTATATTTTAGAATAATAATAATATAGAAGGATTTCTGCCAATATTTTGACAAATTCGTTATATTACTTGATTGAAGAGATTTGTTATCTTGTGTGCTAATTTCTAAATAACTTGTGAGATTAAGTAGTATTTCTAAGTAATTTGACAATGCCCGGTCATGCAATTTTTTCGGAGGTGTGACAATTTACTATTGATCTTGATAAGCTCAATTAAATTGGAACAACATTATTCATTTCAACTAAACCTATCTTAACTGTACCAAAAAGACTTTCGAAAAACTCATCTAACTTGAGGCGCACTACCATTCCACTGAGATGAATAGGAATAGGATCAAAGAGACGCGTTTTTCCATATTCAACCTGTTTTGAGGAGCCTTAACATGAAATGAGAGGCTCCACATCCAACCTTAGATATGGGACAACTAATAACAACACAGTTCGGGTTTTGTATTTGCTCCTCAGTTCTTAGTGCACGTTTACTAGCTTTGGATCTGTGTTTACTTCAACACCACTAGTTATAGCTTCTTTATTCCAAAACACACTATGTCTACCCAACAGGACAACATTGCGTTGGATTTTTTACTTCAATTTTGGATTATTTTAACTTATCTTGTTGAAGGAGCCTTGTATTTGTATATAATGAGTGCCCAAGTAACTGAGATGCATCAACATAACTTGCTTCAACTATCGCTCCCAGAGATGGACTTTGCAAGTTGTAAATGTGCAAGTGCAATGCTCCTTCTTTTGACTTGGACCACCATCCATGTTCTCCGCTCATTCCTTGCAAGAAGAAAGAAAGCAAACAACAAACTTCCACCAGGACCCTCCTCATTTCCCGTCATAGGAAACCTCCTTGAACTGGGAAACAAGCCCCACCAATCCTTGGCCAAGCTTGCTAAGATTCATGGCCCTCTAATGAGCCTAAAGCTAGGGCAAATAACCACCATAGTGGTGTCTTCTGCTGAAATGGCCAAAGAGGTGCTCTTAACCCACGATCACTTCTTGTCAAACCGAACCATCCCGCAATCCGTGTCAGTTCTCAACCATGAGAACTATAGCCTTGCCTTCATTCCCGTTTCCCCTCTTTGGCGAACCTTGAGAAAAATATGCAATGCTGAGTTGTTTGCACACAAGACTCTCGATGCCAGCCAGCATGTCAGACGGAAGAAAGTGCAACAACTCCTCACTGAAATCGAAATCCATCGAAGTTGCCAAATCGGTGAAGCAGTGGATATTGGAACATTAGTCTTCAAGACTACCATAAACTTGTTATCAAACACTATTTTCTCCGTGGATTTGGTTCAATCTGCTGGTAAAGCCGGAGAGTTCAAGGACTTGATCACCAATATTACAAAACTGGTTGGAACACCAAACCTTGCGGATTATTTTCCTATCTTGAAAATAGTTGATCCATTGGGCATCAAAAGACGTCAAGCTAAGAACGTAGAGAAGGTTTTGGACATTTTCAACCACTTAGTTAACCAGCGTTTGAAGCAACGTAGAGAAGATGGTCACAAGGACATGTTGGGCGCGCTTCTCAACATTTCTCAGGAGAATGAGATGATGGACAAAACAATGATTGCGCATTTGTCGCACGTAAGATATTCTCCTCTCACATGCTCTTTTAATACACTAATATGATATTAAGATCATAGATTTTAGCAACAATTATTGTTTTTGTTGTATCTTGACTTGCTTTGAAAATAAATAATTATGATTCACTAGGATCTATTTGTTGCGGGAACGGATACGACAACGTCTACACTAGAATGGGCAATGAGCGAGTTAGTACGCAATCAAGAGGTTATGTCAAAAGCAATAAAAGAATTGGAGCTAAGCATTGGCAGAGGTAAACCAGTTGAGGAATCAGATATTGGTAGACTTCCTTACTTGCAAGCTGTGATAAAAGAGACATTCCGCTTGCACCCACCAGTTCCGTTTTTGTTGCCCAGAAAAGCTGAGAGAGACGTGGAGATAAGTGGGTACACCATCCCAAAGGATGCAAAAGTGCTTGTTAATGTGTGGACTATTGGCAGGGATCCAAGCATTTGGGAGAATCCGAATTGGTTTCGTCCGGAGAGGTTTCTAGTGTCAGACATTGATGTTAAAGGGAGGAATTATGAGCTTGCACCCTTTGGTGCTGGGAAGCGCATATGTCCTGGCATGGTGCTCGCCATCAGGATATTGTCCTCAATGTTGGGTTCATTGATCAATTCGTTTGATTGGAAGGTGGAAGATGGTATGAATATAGAGGATGTGGACATGGATGACAAATTTGGTATCACCTTACAAAAGGCTCAGCCCTTACGACTTGTTCCAGTCAAAATAAATATTTAATGTGGTAGTTTTACCACAGTATAAATAATTTTACGAATCAATGCTTAACTAATCAGGTGTACACTTTGTTAAGTATGCAGTGGCTCAATCCAGAGGCCCCATTCCCTTTTCGAGATATAAGTTTTACTTTTTTAATCTTTTTATATCAAAATAGTTATTTGATAAATAATTATTTTTTATATTTAAATTATAATTATTTTAAATTTTTTAAATTAAATTAACTAATAAAAAATATAAATATATCCTAATTATGAAAATATAGATATTTACTAGTGTTATGTGAAATTAAAATACAAACAATATTAAATTATTCTTATAATGATGATGGTGATATCATGTTTAGAATATTTATTTATTAAATATAAAATGAATTTTGTGTGATTATATTATTTAAAATTTTAGATTTTGCATATAGTAAAATGAAATCAAGTTTAAATTATAGCAAAATTAAGATTGTAAATTATAAATGCAATTGTGCGGATAGTTTTCACTTTATCTTGGTATATTTTGATTTATTGGAGTCGGGTTGAGGCGAATAGAAAAGGAATAAAGATACGGAGTGTGTTATCCACAACAGAAATAATTCATCAGATCGATGGCTGTGCACACTTTCCTTCACTGGCAGTCACCGCTCACGTCACAGTCACACTTTCCATCTTCTTCTCCCCGCAGACTCAGACTCAGACTCAATGCTTCCCTACTCTTCAACTCACAGCCTCTCACTCCCATCAGAATGGGGAGACGCCGGATGCTGGTGGCCGGCGTCGTAGAGGAAAGCCAAGAGAGTTCCGAACCCGAACCCAAACCCGAACCCGAACCCGAATCGAAGTCGGAGTTGGGATCGGAATTGAAGAAGGCGATGCAGGAGAGGAAGGAGAAAGAAGGAGAGAACTTGTGGAGCGGAGTGGCCCAAGAGATTGGGGAGATTGAATGGCCTGCGTTTGGCAAGGTTTTGGGTACAACGGGTGTCGTCCTTGGCGTCATCCTTGGCTCTAGCGTCGTTTTGCTCACCGTCAATGCCGTTTTGGCCGAACTTTCTGACCGCGTTTTCGCTGGCAAAGGGATTCAGGATTTCTTCACCTAACAATCATTTCTTTCACCCACTAACATTTCACTAAGCCAAGTTTCTACATTTTATGCATTCCAAGAAATTATTTTTTCCCGTTTGCCCTCTGTTTTGTGCTGTTACTCCATTATTACACTATGTTTTGTACAATACCATATTTCATCATGTACTCTCAGTAGATTTAAGACAGGTTTTTTTAGCATTTATAAATAGATTCAGGTCCAAGTTTGCATTAACATATTCTCAAATCTCAATAATCACAAATGGTATTCTGCGAATCAATAGCTAAGGCTGTTAAAATTAAAAAGGACAAATTAGAAGGCGAAGAAATAACTTAAAAAGCCTTAACCCATTCAGGGCGTTACAGTCATGCTTTCAGCTTCCCGTCTGATTGACTCGAATAGGACAGACGACAGGTACCTCTCTCCAAAGCTTGGAAAAACAACCTGCAGTGTATCAAAATGTATCGGTCCCATTGTCTCGGTGGTTACTCCAGGGAAATATCAATTGACAGATACAAAATATTTTAGGGATGAATCAACTTACAACAATAAGCTTCCCTGCATTTTCTGGTCTTTTTGCTATCTTAAAGGCGGCAGCAGCTGCAGCTCCAGAAGATATTCCCACCTACAACAATCTCCAAAGGTTAAATATCAAGCTCATTGCCCACTGTTTGCTGTTTCTATAGGTTTAGAACTTACAAATAGGCCTTCTTTAAGTGCAAGAAGCTTCGCAGTTTCTATTGCTTCGTCACTTGATATCTGCCAATCTCACATATATCGGGTTTAATGAAATTTTAACTGTTGCAACTTTCAAAACAATTTTTGCAAGATGATGAAGTGTTTGATATAATTTTAATAAAAATCATCAGTCACAATTTTATTTTTCAGAATTTAGATTTTTTACAGAATAATTCAAAACTGCATCTAAAAAAATCAATTATGACATTAGAAATTAAGTTGTATATTACAAAATATTTATATTTCAAATCATAATCAGCACCTAATCTTGAAAGCTATCCGGATTCCCATTCTCCATTTAGTTCAACTTCCAGATTAGATGTAAACTAGTGCTTAATGATAAAAAATTTTATTGCCAGTTTGTGGTTGGTTTAGTCTCAATTTGGAACTTTGCACTTGCTTGAAACTTGCCAGGCGAAGAGAACCACAGTGCTATAGGACAAATTTATATCAAGAAATTAGTTGAAAAGATTCCCAAACTAGAAATGATCAATGAGTAGCAAAGATCTGCTCCGATTAATTCAGTGAACACTGTATCAATATTATCAAAACTAATAAAACCGGAAACTGCCGTATCTAAAAATTGAAGGTGTAAGAATGCAAGCAATTATCAACGATCACATCTAATAACTATAAACAGATGAATTATCCCATTTTCTACAACTGTGTTCATACTTAAAATAAATATTTTCATAAACTGCAGTATTTTTTAAGTATGATGCACGATTGCTTGAATAATGTAATGATTATCCATAAGTTGCCAAAGCTTACTTGAATTACTTCATCAACAAGATTGACATCCAAGACACCAGGGATAAAACCAGCACCAATCCCTTGAATCTTGTGTGGACCTGAGCATTCACAATGGCAATTTGTAAAATAATCACAACTAGAAAAAGAAATTCTTTACCTCAACCATAAGGATTTATTCTAAATAAAAATTGTGAAGACTATGGTAATTACAGCCACTGGAGAACAAAACAAACAAGAAGAGAAAATATGAACTGATACTCTATTGGGATAATTTTTAAGCTAAAGAAAAGACAGTTAATCACAGTAACATCAACTTTATATGCTTACTGCTTAACAAGTGATTAGTCTAATGATCAATCTGGTCAAGCAAATATCAACTTGTAATGCAAGAATTTTTATAGTTCACAGGAAAAGTATCCAAAAAACTACATTATTACAGTAGAGGATAAAACTCACCAGGCTTTCCACCAGAAAGCACTGAACTTTCAACTGGTTCCACACCAAACAGCTGCATAAAGGTAAGAGAGGTTGAGTAGATCGAACAAGAATGACACAGATAGAGAGGAGATTAGCTTTTTTCTCCATTTTCAGGAAAAATGTTGTCCAAGTATCCCTAGAGGTACCTAAAATATATTAAGGAAAAAACAAAAAGTTAACCTTTATATTGGAATTTTGCTCTTTAAGATATTTCCCAGCACCAGTTATAGTACCACCAGTGCCTATCCCAGAAACGAGTGCATCAACTTTCCCATCCGAGCCTTTCCATATCTCTGGACCAGTGGTTTCATAATGAATCTGCAATGACAAATATATATTGCCCAAAGTGTCAAGAATCCATTGCACCAGTCAGTTATAATGTTATCGAACAAATGTACTTATATACCTTGGGATTGGCAGGGTTTTCAAATTGCTGAAGCATGTAGGCATTGGGTGTGTTAGCCAATATCTCCTCAGCCTTCTGAACAGCTCCTTTCATTCCCTTTGCAGGGTCTGTCAGAACCAACTCAGCTCCAAAAGCTAAAAGAATGGTTCTTCGTTCAAGACTCATAGAAGCAGGCATTGTAATTTTGAGCTTGTAACCCTTGGCTGCTGCCATGAATGCTAATCCAATGCCAGTATTACCACTTGTTGGTTCAATAAGGACACTCTTTAGTAAAATAAGAAACCCACGTATCAGCATTGTACATTAACTGGTCAACTCAGATACACTAAATACTCAGAATCTTCATCTTTCACCTACGACTTCAAGTATTATACAAATCAGTGGTAACAAAAATCAATTAACAGTGTATTCATTAGATCTGAAATAACTGCCATGAGAGTAACACATTTCATTCTCTAATAGGATGTTCCTCATGCGCATATGATAACCCTCATCAAAGAGGATGATCTAGACAATATTTTCTTTAAGGCATATTGCACACGTAATTAACGTACCTATCTATTATGTGGCATATGGCAATTCACCACTATCGTTTCACTCCTTCATACTTGAAGGTTAGGAACATCAGGGTTCACACACACACACACACACAGAGTTAATCATGATAACTATTTACATCATATTAGAAGTTCAGGCAGTAAAAAACCAAGTAGTATCACTTTTCTACCAAACCATACCATTCTGATAACACCTTTACTAATTTATTACAAGCTTGACATCTTTTTAACTATCAAGGTATACCAACCTTTCCAGGTGTAATAAGCCCCTTTTCTTCTGCATCAGCAATCATACTATAGCCAATCCTGTGTGTCAAACCTATATCATAAGAACAAGAGTACAAGCACGAAAAATCCATGCCAAACATAATGCCAAGAGTATTAATTTAAAATCAAGCTCATGACAAAGGAAAAATAGTAACCTGTCTTTTACACTAGAGCATGGTTCCATCAACTCCAGTTTGGCAGCAACGCGGGCAACACAACCATCGGCAAGTTTATTTAGATATACTAATGGGGTTTTCCCAATCAACTACATAAAATAAAAATCGGACAACAGTATGTAAACGTAATCTAGCAAAAAACACTATCAATACGGACAAAAGCCAGCATGAAAAATTATACAGAAATGGACATCAAGTTCCACAAACTCACTTCTGTAACATCTCTGGCGATTCCAGACCTTTCAACAGCCATGATATCGACTCACTACAAAGCAGACAAACTATTAGCATAAAACAAACAAACTACATATCCGCAACCACAAAGCTACCAGTTCATCACTTCAGTTCTGTACTATCAATGGAATCTGATGCTTTAACTTGGCAAATGGAAAAAAAAAGATTCGAAAATTCGCAGCTTATCAAAACACCAAAATAAAGAAATCCTAATTCAGATGCATATTTAACAAACAATCGAAAATGAATTTGGATCCTGTTATTAACTAACATAACATGGTAACGTTAAAGAGAAAAAAAATACAAAATATATAAAATAAGGACCATCTAATCAATTGCTTAAATTTGATAAAATGTGTGTGCGCGTTTAACAAGATTATGTATGTTACTTAATAACACGATGATCCAAATCCTATTTTAATTAACGAATTGGAGAAATACAAAATACAAAAGAAAAAGAAGAACCTTGAGTAGCAGGAATGGCGATAGTGTGTGACACCCTGAGACAAGCGCAGCTGATTACAACGATCTATGAAGTACGAACGGCGAGGCCAACAACACTCACGTCTGAGTCATAAGTGAAAGAAAATGATGTACAATCGCTCATTCGCTCATACATATTTTATAATTTAATTTAATTTTCCTTATTAATAAAACAGTTTTAATTGATTAATTATTTTGAATAATTTCTTTATATTTAACATATATATAAAATTACCATTTCATTATACAAAATAATTACTGATTACTAATATATATAATAAAAAAAATGTTGAAAACTTTTATCTATTTTTTGGACAATTCACTAAAAAAAAATAGAAATTAGCCAAACAACAACCGAAAATTTTAATGGCGAAATAAATAGAAACACAAACGAAGTAATTTGAATCGGTCTATTACTAAAGCTTACAAAAATCCGAAGGAGGCATTTAATTCGAATCCTTGGCATTAAAGTGAAGTCAATATAGTCCAGAAACATAGCATAAGTTATATATGATAATTTGTTATTAAAAATTATGAAATTCAATATAATTTAGTGTATTGGTATTATTAAATATTATAATTTTTTTATAAAAATTTACTTTATATAAATTTTTATTTTAGAAAAAAAAAGTTATGTTAATCTTTCAAAGTAAAAAATCATAGCATAATTTTTTTAAATATTTATTTTAATAATTAAATTGACTCTTAACCTTATTAGTATAAGAATTAATCAAATAAATTAATAAAATAATCATAACATACACATTTTCAAACTTTATGTGATAATTTTCATAATGAAAAACTGATTCGGCCAACATAATTTTCATGACTAATAATCTATCTTACATATGATTATTTTCTCTATTTAATGTGACTCATTTTCTAACAAAAAAACCCCTTGAATGATGTGCGTATTGGGGGAAGGGGTGTGAAAACGGCCATAACCTGGCAGCACAAGTCTTATCCTTTCATCCACCACACGCTGCTTCCCATCTTGCTTTGGAGCCCCAAAGCACAAAGCATGGCAACCCTTCAGCTAACATCCTTCACTTTTTTCAGACAAAAGCACCCCAACACCACAACAACCAAGTTCTCCACTGATTCTCAGCTCAACATTCGTTCGCGTCCACTCATTGTGAGGTCTTATAAAGTGGTAATTGAGCATGAGGGGAAGGCCACTCAACTCGAAGTTGAACCTGATGAGAGCATTCTATCAAAGGCATTGGACGCTGGCTTGTCTGTGCCTCATGACTGCAAGCTTGGAGTTTGCATGACTTGCCCAGCTCGTCTTATTGGTGGCTCTGTGGATCAGAGTGATGGAATGCTGAGCGATGATGTGGTGGAAAGTGGTTATGCACTCTTGTGTTCCGCTTACCCTCGATCTGATTGTCATATTAGGACTATCCCGGAGGATGAGTTACTATCTTTGCAGTTAGCTACGGCCAATGACTAGTTTATTTTTCAGTTTTGAATGTAATTCCATGCGATGCTGGTTTTGGTCAACAGAATTGAGGGAGTCTTTGCTTGTTTCTAGTAATTGCTGATGTCGCCCTGGTTTTAAATATTTAAATATATACTTCAATTGTGTAGCTTTTATTGATTTATTGATGCATAAAATAGAACATTTGACTCAAATTAGAACACGTAACAACTGCCCAACAAATGTTGATGTAATGGATTTATCTACTTTAATGAACTAAATGAGGATCCATAGTTATCATCATGCAATTTTATTTAAATACAAAACAGAACCCTATTCACATATTACAAGGGTGGAATTTCCAAAATCCAAAATGGTAGAACTTCACAGTAGCCAAATGACGAAAATCCTACCCAGGCTAGCTTTACATAACAGGATCCAAATTCGTTTTCATGTGTAAAAAGCTCATCAGTGATATGCAAGTTATAACCATCGGACAATAGACAATGCCAACTGAACAAGGTCAAATACGGTTGGATGACTTCTTGGGTCTTTGCTTAATCTTCACATTTACATTGATGCCATTATCAATGATGGACTGAAGAACAATCTGAAGCTTCCCTTCCACCCTTTCTCCTTTCCTTGGAGTGTAAATCATGTCATGAATATCATCAGCCAAGGCTCTCTGAGCCAGAATCGCCCCAACGGCAGCACAAGTGGCTTTGCTCTTGGTAGAAGCAAGATCGAACTTGATATCCTTGGAAATGGAATGTGCCACAGCAACAACCTTGCTAGTTACCCTATGAACAACGCAAGCACGAACAGAGGCTTTTGATATGTAGATGTCCAAGCAAAATGGTTTATGATAAGGACCTGTAAGCTGATTAAAAGTGGGAGTCCTCTGCCTCTTGTTCACAGGAGATACATCATTGATTTCATCTAGCCGGGGCATAACACTTTTACTTCTTGTCAAGTTCTTAACTTTGGGAAGCTCGTGATCTTGGGTAGTCACATTTTGAGTTATTTTAGCTTTGTTTGCCTCTTGTTTCTTCTTGGAAGATTTCTTGCGGTGAAATTCTAAATTATACTCTTCAAACTCCTTAGAGCTGCGCTCAAGCTTATAGAACAGACTGCCACGAATTCTCATATTGTCTATGTCCTCAAAATCCAGTTCACCCTCAACACGATCAAGGGATTCATCAATTTCTTGCGGAACAAAGGAACTAGCTCTCGATGCAACCGAATCTGGTCCACGCCAGGCTTGTGCCACCCCAGATGAGACCCCCCAAACATCATGATCCACAAGCTCGATGTCAAATCCAGTATAGGGGTGATTGAAGTCAGAGAAAAGAGGGGAAAGATGAAGGCTGTTAGAATGTTCAGAAGGTGGCACGGATACAGAACTCACAGCTTCCTCAACGTCCTTGTTGGGAATGGTGGTGAGGAACTTGAAGCAGAGATTGAATGTCCTGGAGAGAAAATGTTGCCTGTATAAGGAAGCACCCTTCCTTGCGAGCATGGACACCATGATCAGAGTTTCGAAAAGAGAATGCTCACAGAAGCAAAACACCAAACAGTTGGCGTGCACTCACTAGCAAAGTAGCTGACTGAACTTGAGAGACTGTGACGTCCTTCATAATAGGAGACCCGACTCTTTGGTTGAATACCCAATAATACCCAAAAAAAAATTAAAAAATTGAACGATTGATTTAAAGCAACTTGATATCTATTTGGTTGAAGTTTAAATCTGGAAGACAAACACAAACAACGTTGGCCAGAAATAGGAAGGGGTTGGGTACCTGCGATTTCTCCTTCCCCATTTCTTGGTGCAAAAATACGTATCTTCTTTCTCAAATGAATTATATTAATTTCGACGAGAATTTATCTTGGATTATAGTATAGTATATGATTTTAAAAAGCTGGGATTTTTTTTAAAATAAAATAAATACTTAATTACGGATATATTCTCTTTTGTAAAAAACTCAAAAATATCATTTTTTTTCTATATTACATAATTTGTATCACTATAAAACAATTTTAAGTTATAAATAAGTAGTACTAAATTAGTGTGACTTAGTAAGAGCACATGGTGTATTAAAGGTGAATGTCACACATTAATTTTATTTCTAATTATAAATAAATTTTATAAAATGAGAGTAATAAAAAGTTTTCATTAAAATAATTCTCAATGTTTGGTTCAATAAAGTATTTTAAGATAAAGATAAATTACAATTTAAATTAAATAATCGCTGCAGGACTTAATTAATACAATTCAGTTTCAAAATAATATCTTAAGTCATATAGCAGTGGCACACCATGGATAGTTGCCAGATAACTCTCGCCTCACGAATACAATGGATGCAGTCACGAACCCTTTAGCAAAAGTGTTAGTTAGAGGTTGAGTCAAGAAGAAAGCGTGTAGCCTGTAGTGCACTCACGCTCACTGTTGGTGTCACCACCACCCTCTCTTCCGCAAGGTATTTCTACTGCCCCATCTTCCACCACCCCTAGTGTATCAATAAACCATTCATAACTTTCAACATATTCAAACACAATCACATTCACGATTCATCATGTCTTCAGCATACATATTTCATTTATCTCATTATTCATTCTCAATCAAAGGCACAAACACCCATATTCCACCACATAATACTCAAACATCAATCACACTAGCTTCACACGAAATTTCTATCACAATACATTTATAATCAAGCCACTCTCATTAGATACATATCTTCCTACGTCCTATCTCCACCACATTGCATTATTTATCAATATAAACGGATTCAAGACACAAAGAGAGGTAGAGTTCCTCCCTTACCTCAAATCGAAGACTCAAAAATGAATTCAATAAAGAATGCGCTCCCTACATGAATTTCGTCCTAAATACATGAAAAATCCGATGAGAAATCGAGAGAACAAGGGAGAAGAATGGAAAATCGGAACCCTAACTCTTAAAACTTACCTCCAAACGTCCCAAACATAATCTCAACCTTCAATCCAACTCACGAATGGCTTTGGAGGTAGTTTAATCAGTAAGAATGAGTTTTGGGTCGAAAGAATCAAAGGGATTTCGAAGGGAGGAATGAGAAATGAATATTCCAAACTCTAAACCCCTCAAATACCCTTCTGATCGCGACACTTTCGCTGCAACGACACCCCCTTTCGCTTCAGCAAAAATCTCAAAGAAAACTGCATTCTGGTTTCTGCAGAATCTTATTATAGTGAAACCCTCTCGCTACAGCGAGACTGTACCCAGAAATGCATCCCTCTTTGTCGCCTTCTTACTACAACAAAAATGCAACAAAATCACACCCTTCACCCAGGATACTCTCGCTACAACAAGAATGTCTCTGCAATACACACTTAGCCTACATTTCAAACGGTCCCAGCCAATCACAAGTCAACCATCAACAATCATGCTTAAGCACAAGTCCACATCACATTTCAACCACATATACATATACCTTCACAACCATATTTATATCCAAATCATTACACAATCAAATGCACGTTCAACCATCAATTCACACATTTATATTAATAATTAAACAATATTACAAAATTCGGGGCGTTATAACTCTCTCCTCCTTTAGGGAATTTCATCCCTAAAATTCAACCAACTACATAAACAATCCTGGATACAACTCTCTCATTCTACTCTTTGTTTCTCACGTGGCATCTCCCTCATCGCTTGAGCTCCAAATTACTTTCACCAACAGGATTTCCTTGCCCCTCAACTGCTTAACATGGTGGTCCACAATCCTTACTGAGTACACATCATAGGACAAGTCATCTCTCACTTAAACCGGGTCAAGTTCAATTACATAAGAGGGTTCTGACACATATTTCCTAAGTTGTGACACATGGAACACTAGATGTAGGTTCGAGAGATTTGGAGGTAACACTATCTGGTACGCTGTAAGACCGATTCTACTCAGCACTTTGAATGACCCAATGAACTTAGGAGATAGCTTTCAAGAATTTAGAACTCTTTCAACTCCGGTCACAGGTAAGACCTTCAAAAACACATGGTCACCCACATGGAACTCCAACGGCTTTCTCCTATTATCATAGTAGCTTTTCTGCCTATCCTGTGAGACTTTCATTTTCTCTCTAATCATCTTGATTTGCTCATTCTGTTTCTGGATTATATCTGGTGCACATAGAGTCGCCTCTCCAGTTTCGTACCAACACAATGGAGGTCTGCACCTCCACTGATACAAAGCCTCAAATGGTGTCATCTCAATACTAGCATGAAAGTTGTTGTTATACGTGAACTCCACCAACAGCAAGTATTCTTTCCAAGTTCCTTGCTACTCGAGCACACAAGCTCTTAACAAGTTCTCTAGGGACTGGATGGTCCTCTCTATCTGACCGTCAGTCTGTAGGTGATAAGCCAAACTAAGCTGCAGTCTAGTACCCAACGCCCTCTATAGGCTCTCCTAAAACCTTGAGGTAAACCTCGGATCTCTATCGGATGCCACATTAGTCGACATTCCATACAGCCTGACTATCTCCCTCGCATATATGTCTGCCAACCTCTCCAACTTATAATTCATATTGATCGGGAGAAAGTGTGTAGCCTTAGTCAACTGATCCACAATCATATAGATGGCATCATGGTTGTTTATGGTCCTCGGCAAATCAGAAACAAAATCCATGGAAATGTTGTCCCTCTTCCACTTAGGGATCTCCAATGGTTGCATCAAACTAGGTAGACGCCGATGCTCTACTTTTGCCTTCTGACAAGTCAAACATCTCGACACGTATTCAACCACATCCTTCTTTATTCCATTCCACCAGAAGTTCTTTCGGATATTCTGATACATCTTGGTTGCACTAGGGTGAAATCTCATCCTGCTCTTATGCGCCTCCTCAAGTATCATTTGTTTCAATTCATTCACTTGGAGAATGCACACTCGGTTCTGAAACTTGATCACCTCGTTCTCATCACAGTAAAACTCTAAGTCCTTCCCCTCATTCTTCTGCCTCATCATATCTTAGAGGAAAATATCTCCCTGCTGAGCCTCTCAAACATATACCAAGAAATCATTATGAATCGTCATCACTCCAAAGTATAAGCTTCCTAGCCTTACCTCCATAGTCAGATTCATGTTCCAAAACTCCTCAATCAGCTCCAAAATCATTCACCATCATTATTGCCATATTCAATGATTTCTGGTTTAAAGCGTCTACCACCACATTTGCCTTGTCAGGATGGTAAGACAATGTGAAGCCGTAGTCTTTAAGGAATTTATCCACCTCCTCTGCTGCATGTGCAGCTCCTTCTGATCAAACAAGTATTTCAAACTTTTTGTGGTCACTGAACACTTTAAACCTTGCCCCATAGAGATAATATCTCCACACCTTAAGGGCAAAAACCATCGCAGCTAACTCCAAATCATGTGTCAAACAATTGACTTCATACGAGCGCAATTGCCTTGAGACATAGGCAACTACTCTTCCATCTTGCATTAAAACACACCCAAGTCCATGCCCAGATGCATTACAATACATATCAAACTTCCACTCTGGGTCAGGCAAAACCAACACAGGTGCTAAGGTCAACTTCACCTTTAGCTTTAGGAAACTAGCTTCACATTCTTTGGTCCATTTAAACTCCTTACCCTTGCGGGTCAGCTTCGTCAGAGGTAAAGCTATCTTAGAAAATTCTTCAATGAAATTTCTATAATAGCCTGCTAGTCCTAGGAAACTGTGGATCTCCATCACATTCTTCGGCCTCAACCATCTAGCTACTGCTTCCACTTTTGCAGGGTCTATCATAATTCTATCTTTCGACACTACATGCTCCAGAATTGAATCTGAGGCAACCAGAACTCGCACTTGGAGAACTTTGCATACAATTGTCTCTCTCTCAAAATCTGCAAAACAATTCTTAAGTGCTCAGCATATTCTTCTTGAGTCTTTGAATAAATCAGGATGTCGTTAATGAACACTATCACAAACTTATTCAGAAACTCATGGAAGATTCGGTTCATGTAGTCCATGAACACCGTAGGCACGTTGGTCACTCCAAATGGCATTACCAAATACTCATAGTGATCATACCGTGTCCTGAATGCCGTCTTGGGTACATCCTCATCTTTCACCCTGATCTGATGGTACCTTGATCTCAAGTCAATCTTCAAAAATATTGAGCTCCCCTCAATTGGTCCATCAAATCATCAATCCTTAGAAGTGGATACTTGTTCTTGATAGTAACCTTATTTAGTTGTCGGTAATCTACATACATCCTTATACTCTCATTCTTCTTCTTCACTAAGAGCACTAAAGCTCCCTATGACGACACACTTGGTCTAACAAACTGTTTATATAACAAGTCTTCTACTTGCTTCTTGACCTCTGTCAACTCCACTAGTGACATCCTATATGGTGCCACAAAAATCAGACTTGCTCCTGGAATGAGGTCAATAGCGAAATTGGTCTTTCTTTCAGGTGGCAATTCATAAATGTCTTCAAAAAAGACTTCCAAGAAGTCTCTCAACACCGGGATGTACTCCGGCTCCACTACACTTTCAGCCTCCATTGAGAACGGGACTATAAAGGCCTTAACGTTCACCGTGTTCTCCCATGCACCATGACCCAAAGTCTCAGAATTTCTGTCATTGACGCACCAAAGATCAATGTCTTCTCTCTGAAATCTAGTAGCACATGGTTGGCAGCTACCCAATCCATTCCTAAAATTACATCCGATTGAGAAAGAGGCAAACAGATCAAGTCCACCTCAAACTCCCTACCATGCACTATTATCGAACACTCTAGACACGCTCCCAACGTCATAACCGGCTTATCCGTAGGGGTAGTCACCACAACGTTACACGGAAATTCAGTCACATACAAACCCAGACTCTTCACACAGTTCACAGATACAAAAGAGTGCGTAGCACTCGAATCAAACAATACATCAAGTAGTCTGCCCTTAATGACACATTTACCTCGAATTAGCTCCTCAGATTGTGAAGTCTCTGCCCCACTCATGCCAAAGACTCTCCAGGAATACTCGGCTTTGGCCCCGTGCTCCCTTTTGACTCAGGGCTCTGAGTTGTACTTGAACTGTCACTCCTCTTAGCAACCCAACACACATTAGCTATGCGCCCCAACTTCCTACAGTTACTATAGTTGGTTCGTGGTTGTGGGCACTCTCTCACTATGTGTGGTCCTCCCGTGCTCCCTTTGATCGCGACACTCTCACTACAATGAGCCATATCTCGCTATAACGAAAATCTCAAAAGAAACTGCATTCTGGTTTTTGCAAAATCTCGCTACAACGAGACTGCATCCCTCTCTGTCGCCTTCTCGCTACAGTGAGAACGCAACAAAATCACACCTTTCGCCCAGGACACTCTCGTACAACGAGAAGTTCTCTACAGCACACACTTAGCCTACATTTCAAACGGTCTCAACCCAATCACAAGTCAACTATCAACAATCATGCTCAAACACAAGTCCACATCACATTTCAACCACATATACATATATCTTCACAACCATATTTACATCCAAATCATTATATAATCAAATGCACGTTCAAATATCAATTCACACATTTATATTAATAATCAAACAATATTACAAAATTCAGGGCGTTACAGTGAATATAGTTGTGTTCATGTATAAGTCATATAAAAAATATGAACTAATGTAGAAGTTGTGTTATTTTGGCACAGTATGACCACACCTACTTGACACTAAATTGTACATAAGTCTAGAAAAATAAAGTGAATCAGGTCAGGCATTTATTATATAAAGAAGCCAATAGAGAAATTTTACTATTACATAATATTCACTTTTGTATAATAGTTATAATTTAAGTAGAAATATCACTAAAAGTTATTATATATTAGTTCACTATAACTGTGAAACTACAAATACCACAAAAGGAGCTACTTTTAGTAGTCGCACAATTGTTCATCTAACCATCAATTTAGTTTAGAAAGTTCTAATACACAGGATTTAGTTGTTAGGCATTGTGCTTCCCATTTGTCAAGTTGGCATAAATAATTTTAGAAAGTGAAGAGAAAATGTTAATGATATTGTGACTAGTTTAAGCTTTACACAATTTTCTGAATAGTTCAATGGTCAATCTATTGCTAATTTTGATAATTTGATTGAGCACAGGAGAATATGAAGAAGAGTAATTTGATGGCCTTATACCAAATGAAAGTGATTAAGGATTTGACACAGAGACAAAGAATTCTCGCATAATACTAAGATATCGCGAACATGAAATCTCGTCTAATTATTTGTGCATCCATTAACAGCTAAATCATCCACACATAATCTTAACTAGAATACAAGTGTAATTATACACTCCCATATGGAAAACAAAAAGTGTTTCTAGTCACCATCGCTTAACAAGGACACTAATAAATGTTCTATCATAGTTATAGCATCTATTTTGTGATAAGTTTGAAAACCAGCAATTTTAAGGTAAGGTTGCAGCCATGCATTTGGTGAGTTAGTTGTTGTTGATTTATGCTTGGTACGAAGGACTTGATGAGGCTATATTAAATTAAATAATTTATATTAAACTACTACAACAATTTTTATATTTTTAATCAAATTAAAATGCAAAACAATAATTTTATTGAGCAAACATAATTTATAATATAAAATAAATTTCAATTAAACATAAAATATTATAATTTTACCAATTTTTCAATCTCACAAATAAGATTTTCTCGGTTCTATAAGTTTTTTTGTATCTTTTATTTTAATTGTAGTAATTTTTCTAAACTTTTAATAAATAACAGTTGAACCAATATTCAACTTTTATATACACTTGAGCACCACTATATTCACAACCTACACGACCGTACTCAATTAAATTGCTCTATTTTATAGCAATTTATGTGCAACTTTCGGTTGAGCATGAGACATGTTCATACTAAGCACAATCATATTTGATAGTAAGTCATGCTTAAGCGACACAACTTTTGCATTAGCACACAAGTACCAATTTTTGTGTGAATTATACATGAGCAAAATCGTACTCATGGTCAACATATTATATGTTTGATTAGGGATTAGAATGGGGCAGGTCATCCATAGGGGGCCTATGAGCTGACCTATTTAAGACTTGACTCAGCTCAGCTCATTTATTAAAAAAGTTAGGTTTAAATTTTTGAAAAGACTAATTTAAATAAAAAGGTCAGACTTAAATTTTAAAAAAAAATTAAGCATGCTAGGCCACTCCAATTAAATAATTATATTATTTTATAATTTATTTATTTATTTATTTTTAACAATTTTATATAAATATAATTGTCCAAAAAAATCAATCTCTCTCACTCTCACACACACATATGATATATGATATTATATATATATATATATATATATATATATATATAATGTATAACAGTTTAATATTTATACTATAATAATTATAATTATACTATTAGAGTACCTTTTAAAACTTAACGTAAAAAAAATTATCAATTAAAACTTTATACATATTAATATTATAACATAATTTAGTATTTATACTATAATAATAAAATAATTATAATTATATTGTTACAGTATCAAAATTAAAACTTATAGTAGTTACTTATCATGTTTTCTATTTTACTAAACATAAGTCTTTCAACTAGCTAGTTCATTAGCCTATTAAATCTAAATTGACAACGTTATTTGAAGGTCTTAATATTAAAGTCAAACTCCTAAAAAAGTCAGGTTAAAGATAAAAATTTAGCCTATATCAAGTTATAGGCTTAAGATTAAGCTCTAATTTTGTATAGTGGATCAAACTCATTTAACCTTAAATTTGGTATGACTTATGTGTAATTTAAAATTTAAATTATACACATAAATCGTATATAAATAGTGTGACTTATGTAATATAAAATAGAGAATACTTTTTGAATATTTTTTACAAGAGTGACATACTTATAATTAAGTATTTTTTAAATCTGAAAAAGTATTATGTCAGCTGTTTTTATTTAAAATTTTATAAACTTTAATAAAAATGACCTTTTATTATTATTTTTAGTTTAAAATCTGGCACCCTTTTACCATTTAAGCACAACTTTAAGATTCTTTATTAAAAACAAAAAGCAAAAATAGGAAATACAAGCAAAGTTATACATTTATTCATAAAACACTAAAATTTATTGTAAATTTAGGAAAAAGAAACATGTATTATGTTACTTTAAGTATATACATGGGGTTCCTAAAAGTGAATTTATCTAACAATGTTCTTATTTGATTACCTCCAAAGTTCAAATTGGATTAACTACTAACATTTAAAAACTTTTAAATTATAAAATTATCCTATTAAAATTTTTCTGAAACGACAATGTTAAACTCTTTATAAATACTCAAGAAGAAATTAAACGAAATAGCTTTCTGAATAATTGAACGCCATAAATTAATTTTTACTTATGTAATAAGTTTGATTCATTATATTTATTAATCTATTTATATTTTTTACTTGTAAATATTTATTAAGATGTTTACTCAAATTGATTCCTAATTTATTTGCAAGGAAAAATCGTTTTTCCCTTGTCCATAATAATCTCCGAAGTTCAAAACTCTAAATTTGGAATTTTTACACCTAAAGTAAAAGTGACGTATTTCTTTCGGCATTTAAAAAATCGCCTCAAATTGGATAGCCAACTTTTCCCCAGTTCTATAGGTTTTAGACTGGTTTTAATTTTTATAATTTATCCAGACCGGTTGCCTAACTAGTCTGTGAATCAGCAGAGTCCAGTCCGGTTATTCAAATTATGCTTGAAATAGATGAAAAGTGTGGACTCAAACAAGGGTACAAGGATATTATTGAAGACGCTTCAATTGCGGTCATAACCTTAAACATTAACTTAATTACATAAATAAAACAGTTCAAAATAAAAACCTCACCAGAAACAAGATTGTCATTTACAGCAGTGCACCGAGACACCAAACTAAGGTTACGGTTCTACAATAAAATCATATCCAAATGGCTTCAACCTTGATAGGAGAAAGTAAGAGGGCCCCCCCAAAACTAAAAACATTATGACCAAATTTCTGTTTAAAGAGCTTTGGCAGAAATGGATCACAAGCTAGGTACAAGAAGCTCAGTGTGGAATGAAAGAAAATTAATTCTTGCTTCCATCACAAGCTCAATAAATATAGACAAGCCAAATGAAACATATGTTGCCAATCTACGTAAAAAATTGCTCCAAGTACTGCTTATGTCATATGATGAATTACTGTGGACAATTGAGTGGCACAAAGGGACTGAGCAGAAACTCAGACCCACTGTACCTTCAGATATATACAATAGGAACCGCACAACCATATAATGTAACTCAAAGGATTTGCTTCGGTTGAAGGAGGACTGCTGTATTACTTTGCAATAACTTCATCATTCGGCTACATGATCATATGGCAATAGGTCTGGTGCCAGATGCAGTCGAAATTTTTTGGCAGAAGAAACATTCACACAAAATGAAGTTAGATACTTTGAACCTTAAATTCATACTCATCAACGACTCAAGGGACCAAACCCTCGAAATCAACAGAACTTGTTCACAATACCCAGATCAAAGCACGACATTGAAGCTTCAAAACCTTGAAAATTGATTTGCACACAAAGCAATGAAGCTTGAAAAGACAACTTAAAAGAGTATTGCGGACAGTAAAGCACTAAACAAATCAGCAGTACACGACTCGGTCATTCCGTTAGACTGGAACAGTTTCGGAACTATCACCAGAAGCATTTAGCCCACTTTCATCAAAATCCATTTCATTCGAAGCCACTCCTGAGTTCAAATGTAAATCCTTCTCATTCTCACATCCAATTTCACCATTGGAATCAGATCTTACTTGCAACAAACTGTCGTCAGCATGATTGAGAGCAGAACCAGAGACATCTACATTTTGATTATTCTCCTTGGTAATATTCTCTTCAGATATATTCCCCGAAGGAACAGCTTTAAGAACCTCGAGAGCATCATTCATACAAACTTCTTTAGAAGGTGGAGTAATGTCTGCAATTTGGGAATCCAAAACTGGATTAATGTCAAGCTCCAATGAATTATAATTCATAGTAGTGAATGAGTGACATTTCTTGTCAAGGTTTTCTGGAGAACATGGATCAGAACTTGCAGTTTCCTGAGCCAAATCTTGAAATTTTGGAACATCTAATGGGTGACTACTCACAGAAGTGTCATTCAGAGAAATGGATTGACATTTGGAAGATTGATTTAATTTATCAATAGGAGGAGCTATCACTATTTTATTTTTCATTTCTAGTGCATCATGACTAGTACTGGAAGGAGAAACATATTTATCTGAAGCTGAATCAGACATTTCCTCAGAATGATATTTGGAATACACAGTCCCATCAACCAAAACTTGATCATTTAGTTCTTGAGAAGCATCACTGTGTTCATCATTCATCTCATTAGCAGGATTTGAACTAGCATCATCACTTCCATGAGAATCTAGTGGAGTTGAAGAACCCATATCTGACCTATTTCCCTTTTTGGTCTTGATAAAACCAGTGTCTCCACTTCCCATTTTCTCAGAACCTGTCAGGGAAAAAAAGATAAAACTTGTATACAGGCAAAAGCAACTTGCTGAAATTTAAAAAAATCAAAACAGCATCAACACCTGCAGTTGTACCCTCATGTTTTCCTTGTTCTACTAACAGCTTCTGTAACATATCTATACCAGGGAAGGCCATCATATTCAATGACGTCATTTCTTGCCTGAGTGATTTGTCAACATGTGTGAAGCCAAAAACTGTTGTCCACGTATGGATGAGTTCAGCAATTGCAGGAATAACCAGTTTCTCAACCTTCAGAGAGCAAAGCACCTTCCAATAGAGAACAAACCAAAAAGATTAGAACATGTCAATGACAAGAAAAGATACATACAGAAGGGCTCCAACCAAAATTTTAGATAGATATCAGATGCAATGAAATCACAAAGAACCATAGCTTCAAGGTATACCGATTCAATGACAGAAAAAAGCCTGCGGCACATCCCTTGACGCCTATATATATGGCGAGTTCCGATGAATGGCATCTCTGCTATCTTAGTTCCATGGAACCTACGACAGGAGAGTAAATACTTAATGTATCCTACCATTATTCATAAAAACAAGAAAAACACAGTGGCATAGATATTAAGGAAGCACAAAAACAATCATGGCCCTTTACTATCTTTTTAAGCTATAAATCAGTCAAATTTATTGGGAACCAGAGTAAGTTGCTACCCAATTGCACTCACGATTTTCCACAACACAAGCGGATAACATATTGAGCAGACTTGTCATATGGAAAGAAGAAGCTCTCTCTAAAGCAATTGAAGCATGGCTGATGAAAATATTACATAATTAAGAATTTCATTGCCTTCACATGATTAAAACAAATTCTCTCAATACCTAAAACATTAATTAATTTTTATTTTTCTGGTCAAATGTCTACTATTCTTTTCAATTTTTTTTCCTTAATTCCCCTAACTTCTCCAAGATACATCCCTGGTAAGTGCATGAACTTTATATCCAACTGCAACAGAAAAACCTTTTACTCTCACAACTTTGACTTTTTGCATTTTTCTCTCTTCAAAAGAAACGGTCAGAGATCCAGTAAAAGACTTAGTAAGGTAAAGTCTGAGGCTTAGTACCTGATTGATGCTGCAGAAATGATTTCATCTCCTCTCTCCAAAATAGCAGTGTAAAAGCCACTATAACTTAACCGACTAAAGTTAGATCTGAAAAGGAAGAGAAAGCCAAAAAAACATAAACTTTCAAGGCTAGAAATCATGCAACACTCAAAAAACCACAATATCCAGAAAGAGTATAATTTGAATTTTAAATTTAACGTAGTTCGAGCAAAATGCTGAAGTACTTAGTGGCCGATAAACTGTCATTTTATTCATGGAATTTTAGCCTTTTATCATTAAAATTATTATTTGTCCTTTAAAATTGACGAAATTTCTCTTAATTTTATTGTAGAAAATGATGACAAAACAAGTCAAATTATGGAGAAAATTTGCAAAAAATGGGTGAAATTAGTAAAAGAATAAATCTAACACATCCTGTGCTGGACTTATGATGCCATGGTTCAGGGTGTGCTCAATTAAGAGCATGCCCTGTGCTCAAACTTGCAATGTTAGACAGTAGAAAATTAGAATTTTTAGAGGTCAAATTATATCTTGTGAATTTTCAACTATTTAAAGGGCATTTCTCCCCCTTTCATGGGACACACTTGACCTATATCTCTCTCTCTCTACACACTAAAACTTTAAATCTTTCATCCTAAACTCCTCTCTCCTTCTCATCACAGAAAGAGCAGATTAGTCACCAAGGTTTTCTCGTCTCTTATCATTTGTTATTATGGATGTTTTGTATTTAATTATCTTTACTTTCATCTTTATGCCTGTGTATTTGTTGCTATCTATGATCAATAGAGTGACATATATATATAAGCAGACTGCCAATAAATTGTGAAGTAACCCAAACCACAATCAATAAATTGATGTTTATATACTAATAATTTCCTTTTCTACCTACTTAAATGGCAAACAGTCAACATCATGTACCAAGTTAGATAACATTGAAAGATGAAACAATAAAAAGGAAGACATTTATCAATTTGAAGTTCTACAAATGCCAAAAACTATAACATACAGAATCAAGCATTAGCATGCATCCGTCATTATTAAAGATAAGGAGGTTTCATGAATCAAACTTATGGCCTTGGTAGTTCATTCATGATGTGTTTATGAGCGCTTACCCACTATTATATAAAACATTACGGATTAAATTGATCCCACTCCTCCGATCAACAACTGGTAAAAAGCATTCATCCATCACAGTCAGTGCAATAGCCAGCTTGGAATTGCATTCTACCCTCTGGGAAGTTCCCCTACTAGCTGCCTCAGAGTCTTCATCTGTTCTATGAATAATAGACCACGTAAAACCTGCTTCTAATTCATGCTTGGTACCAAGGTACTTCTTCAAGTGCTCAAAAAGCTGTTAAAAAAAGAATATATAAATAATAATAATCATAACAACAACAATAATTCAGAATCTGAGCAGCACAAAAGCACTACAAAAGTTTATTTCTACATTCTCCTTTGTGAAATGTTAATTTTAACAAACATTAAAATACACAAATTCTATAGACTAGTGCACAAGCATAAGCAGTACTCATGCATGAATTGTAACAAAGGTAGGAAATGGTTAAAGAAATACATATACAATTGTCAAGTTATATTTCGAATGCTGACAACCACAAGTAACTGTAAGAGGTACCTCTTTGCACTCTTTACCACAAAAAGAAAGGCCTGGCATATTGAAGTTATTAGGAAGGGTATCCATCTCCTTGGTGCAAGAGTCATGGTCTATGAAAAGACAAAGTATTTATCAAACAAAGTCAAAGAAAAAAAAGAAGGGAAGTAATGGCCAAAACAATATAAACATATTGAAGAAACATCAAATATAAACAGGAGAAAGTGAATACATTTTTTCTCACATAAGTTGCAAGTACGTAGGACATACACAGTTGCATCTTCTTTTGTAAAAGATCCACTAGCTGTGCCACAAATTTTACAGGTGCAATTTGGACAATTCCATTCACCAAGAGGAAGCATCTGCAACAACATAAATGAGCTCCTTATAAAGAAAGTCATCCTCCTAAAATAATTAATCAATTATGTCACTAAAATAAGGCACAGCATGCAATTACAACAAGTGAAGAGCATCATTGTCAAAGCGTCAATAATAAATTATTCTAGTTTTGGTGTACAGGAACACCGGATGCTACATCTAAGTTCTATGAGAAAACCCATTCAACATACCCTGTAGATATCAAAGAAGTTTGTGAGTCACAAGTTAAATTATTGCCAGAAGGCACAAGTATTAGGCATAAAACTATTATATTTTAGATATGCAATTCTTTCCCTGCACTTTTCTCAATAATGGACATACCCTACAACATCAGTAGACACAAGTTCTGTCTAAGGACACCATTTTTCTGCGTTCCCCTAGCAAGCATAATAACAAGTATGATATTTTTCAGTCTCCTTGACTTCATAAAGACAAAGTTCCCAAAAATGAGATGTCACTGTCTGTGTTCCCCAACCATAAACAAAATTAGACAAACCAAACAGCATCTGAAAGGGAAACATAAATCTTGTACGCTATTGTTCAATTCAACAAGAGAAAATGCAAAACTAATTCAGAGAATAATAATATGTACCAACAATATGCTGAGAGGTGAGAACATAACATGCCATATGGATGGTAAAATATGCAGACACACCTTAATATTCAAGCAGCTCTGATGAAATGTTGATGGACAACCATCACAGCAGATTAAATCCCCTCCATCTCCACATATACCACAAGTATCATCATTTGGATCATCACCATCAATATCCACTGAATGGAAACCAATTTTTTCAGAATGCTCTTGTCTATTCCATGCATCTATCTGGCACTGTAGAAGAGAAATTCCAGATTCCAAATATATATTTTGATATGGCTGCGGCAATTTGCTTCCTGCATGAAGCTCAAACTTTGCAACTGTAAGAATCTTACTACAGCAGCCACAATGAATTCCATCTCTTGTGATCCATCCCTCCAGCAGTACTTTTTTCCGCCTCCGGTACTGAACCTTTTGGCTTAACTCTACTGTTCCAGAGTCAATCAACCAGGAAAGAATTGTCCGTTTGCCTGTATATGGGACAAAGCCATCAGATTCTGAATTTAATCCTTTGTTGGCACCACGAACCAACAAAGTACATCTTCCATGTTTTCTACTCTTCCGTCCATGAGCATGAGGTTCACTTCCAGAGAACGATTTTTCTATTGCATCACTTGAGTGTTGGGTAGCATTCTGGTTTTTAGAGCAAGCACTGAAAACGGTATTTTCAAACATTTTATTTTTCATTGACTTACTTCCCTGCTTTATAAAGGAGCTTAGTTTCTCCTCGTTGCTATCACTGTCTGTGCTATTCATATCATGCTTGTTGCTGGCAGGTCTCCTTATTTGAGTCTCTTTTCCACTATCACTTTCACTATCATATATTTTCTTCTTCTTTTTCATTTCTTTCTCCATTTTCTTCCTAGTTTTCCTTGTCAGCTGACTGAGAACCTCATCCGCAATAGGAGAAAAAGAAGAACTATCCCCCTTGGGCTTGGCCTCATTAGCATCATCATTCAATTGCTTTCGTAGTGCATCATAGGCCTTGATGATAGACCAATAGGCAGTACCTGCTGGATTAATGTAAACTGCATCTAGATAGTCTCTATTCCTTCGAGGACGATAGTCTATGGTCCAACCTGCACTCAGCAGCATCTCCCTTATTCGTTCTCGCAGTTTCTGTTTTTCTGTACCACTACCACGCTTGATTTTTCCTTCTTTCGTTCTTGTATTTGGCAGCTTTTCATGCACAGGAGTCTGCTCATCCTCAGACACCTTCTTCTTTGTAGGCTTGCGAGCTTCAGTATTTCTTATGACCAGATTCAATGACATGTCACTGTTGTCTGAATCCCCCTCATCGCCCTTACTGTCCTTGCTTGACAATGATTTTCTTGATGCCATCTGTTTCTTCTCTGACTTAACCAGTAATCCTGGTTTCTCGACAGGCTTTGTTTCCAAGTATGGCGAAGGATGAATCAGAACATTTCTCTTGGTAGTCCCTTCAATCTTCAACCTTTGCCTGCTTTCCACGGGTTTGTGATGATCATAGTGTTCTGACGGCCCACCCACCTTCTTCTTATTAACCATTACCTTCAAAACACCATTTTTGCCCTGAACCCTAATGGACTCGTCTGCATTAAACTTCTCCCTTGGCAAGGATAGAGGTAGCCGAGCTCCATCTCTGTTCATCTTAAACCTACTGTGATCAACATTATCTTCTGGATACAGCCCACTTGGCCTCTCATAATAAGAGTTCTTTCTTTTATCAAGCATACGTGCACTCGACCCTGTTTCAAACTCCCTATCAATGCCACTTCTAGCAGCATGCATTGATCCCACAAACTTTCCTCCTCCATAACCAACTCCATCATTATCAAAATGCCTCCTCCTCATCTTATCCACACCCATTCCATCGTATTCCTCAAAATCATACACATTCAACTTCTTGCGTTTCCTTTCCCTCTGGTCCAAACCATTATCCGCAGCTATACTTTCCCCATTACCCCTAATTCGTTCCAGTCTATCCCTCTTCCTTCTAATTTCACTCCCGCCCCTACTTGTGGCACCCCGCTCAAAGCCACTTAAACCATTACAAACTCGAACGGTCTCGGGGCCAAGCCTTCTACCAGTAGGCATCAGCAATTCATCGCTCGATCCAGAATCACTCAAGGACATGTTGACTTTGGCCCTTTTCTTAGATTCGTACAGCTTCCGAGAGGGGGAAGCCGTAGCACCCAACCCATCCCCTTTCTTTCGAACAATTAAACAACCTGAGGAGTTCCTACTCTTCACCACAACCCCAGAACCACCTGATCTCACCCCCGATTCCATCTACCAAAGCCCCTCCCCCAAAAATACCATCAACCGCCACCAAAACCAAACCCTAAATCCCAGATCTGAAGCAAGAACGACTGGAATGCCAAAAAGTTTTCCCCCTCCCTCTCAGACCAAACAAATATTTCAACGGAATCTTACCACGCCGGAAAATTCACGTCTTCCGTCACTCGCAACGTGACGCAATTCCCCGCCCAAGAACCGAAAAGTGATAGGAGATCGACGCGAGTCAGAGAATAATTCAACGAAAATAAAAAAACCGAAAGAGAGATTTTTGGGTTGGGATTGCAGATTCAGCGCCTAAACCAATATCAATAATAAATAAAAAAGTTAAAAACGCCAACAGAAAACAGTTTCTGAAATTCTCAATGCCCTTCCCCTTTTTATGTTTTGTTTATTTTATTTTCCCTCCAAATTTTCTCTTTTGTTGAATCCGACGCTTCTGATGCTGCCACCTCATGTATCATTGACGTGGCCAAATCAGAACGGCTTCAACGGCTGTTTATACAGTTTTTTCCTCTGCGTATGACTTTGTGCTGGCCCTGGGACCTGGGTTAAGAATTCAGAAAGATAAACCTATCAACGCGGTCGACCCTGTCCAAATGCATAGGTACCAACTCTTGACACCGTTATCACTGTTAGTATATTTTAAACCATTCTATTAACATCAGTCTAAAATTTTAAATATATAAAAATGTTTTTTTATCGAAATCTATTTATTATATTATAAATATAATGAGCATATGTTTTAAAAATATTATTTTAAAATATTTAAAATTAACCATAAAATAGATGTTAATATTTTTAAAAATTATGAGTATTAATAACTCAAACTACCAACTAATTGTCATTTATGTTTGTTTATTATTATTATTATTATTATTTTACTTTGTGGAATATGTTCACATTTCTGTGTTAAAGTAATAAATAATTATGTATGAAAGTAATAGATAATTATGAGATTAATAATTGTCCAGTTAATTATAATTACAATAAAGATGTTCTTATAAGTTATTTTTAAAATGCATAATATTAATTTACAATTTTGTAAATTATTTTTTTAATTGATCAACAATTTAAAGATTATTAGTTTTGTTAGTATTAAAATTTAGTTGTAAGTCAGAAATTATTAATTGAATAAGTTTGATTAATAATAGTTTATGGCAAAGTAGCTAAATTAAGTGCTAGTTTAGACAAAATAATTAATTCGACTATTAGCTGAGAACGTTAAATGAGAGAAGAAAATCAATTAAGATTAATGGTTAATAACACTTTTGAAATTAAAAATATCATTTTGATCATGATAGGTTATGAGTTGAGAAGTAAAAATGTAGTTGTTAACCATCTATTAGAGTTGGACACATAAATCAAACTCGTGAAGTATAAGATGACAATCGTCTCTTATTTTTAGAAAGAAAAAAAAGTTTTTGAGCTTTTTACAAGCTTGGACTTGTTTTAAGTTTCCATACATGTTTTTCACACTCCAAAAGCTTAAACACGGTAAAAATATGGGAAGTTAATATGGATATAACTTGGAATCTTAAATGTTGAATCTGTTAATGACTAGTGTGAATTTCTAGTTATATTTGTTAGAATAATATCTTTTAACATAATAGACATTTACTTCACATACTCAGCTAACATACTCAAAGCAATTTCAATCCTTAATAAGGAAAGTTAGGTAAATATAATTATTTGGCACCAAAAAGTTGCTGACTAATTAACTCAGTACTTTACGTGTGTAGGGTAGTGAGTTAAGAATACAAGTATAAGTTTTTTAGACCAAATAAATGCTTTATACATATTATATAAGTTGCAGTTGTACATATTACAAGGAACTCAATCAATCAATCAATCAAATTTACTACAACTTATCTTTACCTTTACTTTTATTTATAGTCATTTCTTTTACAATTTCAATCTTTACATTTATTTATGACTTTTTTTACTAGTCTCTTACTTTTTAAAATTATTGTTAGTTTTTTATATTGTAGTTCATTAAGTCTCTAACATTGATAGATGTGTGAGAAGTATTAATTTTTTTGTACAGGTCACGTAAATGACATTTGATGCCAACATAGCTCCAAATAGGTCTTACAACTAGTTTGAAAAACTCAAAACATAAATGAACCTCTCAACATGAACCTTCACTTCTCCTATTCAACCTTCTCCAACCACCTTATAGGCCTAAATTAGCCCAACTACTACCTCAAATATTTTCTATTATATGGAGTTTTGGTGTTATCTAAGAGTATTATTGGTAGGCAAGTAAATTGTATATCACATTCAGTAGCAACGTTAAGTCTTTGCATTAGAATTAAGGATGGTCCTTAGTGTTAAAGGTGGAAACATGTTATTTTAAGACCATGTTAATATCACATGTCAACAAAAAATAACATTTCTTACAAGTTTTGTCAGGAAAATATTAAATTGATTTGTAGTTAGAGCAAAAATGGTAAGTATCGACTATATTTTTTGCTTCAAAGTAAAATATTTGTACTAAGCAATAGATTCTTGTTGGACAAAATAAAAGGTAACCATACAAAACCATGTGTTGCACTTGAATTATGCTAAGGCCATAGATTATTTAGAGTTAATATCATATATTAGTAAGTAGTTAAGCATTAAGAAATGTGCCACTGATTCAAAGCATTCTTCATAGTTAAGCTTATTATATTTTATTGTATTTCTACTTCATAAATAGTGAACATGATACGGTCTTATAATATAAAAAAATCAATTAAGTTGTAAAATTTGATTTTGTAACAAGCTTTTTTTCTCCCATGTTCGTCATGAGTGTGTGTGAATTTAATTTTTATATGTTCCACTAATATCAAATTGGTATTAAAGCTAGTTAGATTCAACATAGATTTTGTGAGTTTGTAAGAGAGTTAGTGTTAAAAAATTTAGAAAAAAAAAATATATTGAAGTTCTTATTTTACCATTTTTTTTTAAGTTTATTTGAGAGAGAGAGAGATAGCCATAAACTTCAATATTATTTGGTCTGGTCCCTAATTAGATGAGAAACTTGATTATAATTATTGGACATTATTTATGTCCACCCATTTGAAAGCTCATAATATTTGAAGCTTTATCGAACCAAGCTTACAATAAGGTACTGAAGATGCTACTCAAAGGAGGGACTAGTTGAAGCTATCACAAATTCACTATGAATTTGATTATTCAAATTTTGACAAAATAGCAAATGCCAAAACAACCAAAGAAGCATAAGATATTTTGAAGCTATCATATACAGTATTAGAGAAATCTTAGAAATCCAAATTGCATTCATTATGTAAAGAATGTAAAAGATATGAGATGTCAAGCTCAGAAAGTGTGAAAATATATTTTTCTCATATTACAAACCTTGTTAATAAGATAAGGGTGTATAAAGAAGATATCATTGAAAGCAAGGTGGTGGAGAAAATTCTATGCACCATGCCAATGAAGTTTGACTATGTTGTAACCACAATAAAAAAAGTCTCATGACATAAACATCATAGCGATTGTGGAGTTGCAAGGAAACATTGAAAGCCATGTAATCAGAATTTTATAAAAGAGTGAAAAAGTAAATAAAAAAGCTTTGAAGAGTTAAGTAAATTTTACCAATATAGCATAATCTATTCGGGGTGAAGACGGTAGAGGTCAAGAAGGTGGAATATAAATTTTAATTGTTAAGGACATACAACTTCAAAGGAAGAAGTTGTTGCAATTTCAATAAAAAAAAGAAGGGAAAGATCACAATTTTAGGTCACCCTAATAAAGGAAGAAGTAGATACAATTTTAGATCTATCAACCATGGAAGAAGAAGAGACAATAAATATCAAGAAAGGACAAATTTCAACTGCTAATAATGTGAAAAATTTAGACATAGAGTTGCAAATTGTAAATTCAAACAATAGGCAAATATAATAGAGAATCATTATCAGCATACTAGTGAGAGTTCTGATAACCCATAAACTTTACTTCTAGCAGCAAATAATTTTAAAAATGATGGAAATATTTGGTACTTAGATAATGCTGTAGCAAACACACGTGTAGGAAAAATGAGTTATTTTCATCACTAGATGAAGCATCAAAATCTATCGTAAAATTCAAAAATAATGCAAATATTCATATTTTAAGAAAAGACAGGATTGCTATCAAACTAAAAGATGGTTATCATAATTTCATCTTGATGTTTTTTATGCTTTTGGTCTACATCACAACCGGTTGAGCATGGGACAGAGATTTGTGATGGCTATTGTACGTTAAATGATAAAATTGGAAGATTCAATGTCAAGGTAAAAATGACTCATAATCATCTATTTCCTTTGAAAGTTCAACATGATAAAATTTATCTAGAATAAGTTGTGGCACATGCATTTTGGGCATTATCACTTTTTTGGATTAAATTATTTATCTAGAAAATGATATGTATTTGGTTTGATTTTATAAATGTTCCTTATGGTGTATGTGAGACTTGCAAAACTAGAATGAAGCACAAAAAATTTAGAGATTGTCTATTTAGATTTAAGCATTGTCGATATACTAACATATAGCGGTAGCAAGTATTTCTTTACTTTTATTGATGACTTTAGCAAAAAAGCTTGAGTATATTTTTTGAAACAGAAATCATAAGCTTGTGGTGCCTTTAAATCATGTAAGGCATTTGTAGAAAAATAAAGTGGTTGTAAAATTAAAGCATTCAAGACAGATAGAGGCCAAGAATACCTTGCTTGTATAGATTTCTTTGACTAGAATGGAATTCAGTAGTAACTAACAACCATATATACTCCTCAACAAAATAGAGTAACAGAAAGGAAGAATCAAACAATTATAGACACAGTGAGATGCATGTTGAAGACAAAACAACCGTCCAAAGACTTTTGAGGAGAAGTAATTACTACTACTATTGTATATTTTGAACAAGTGTCCAATAAAGAGTGTTTATGATAACACATCAGAAGAAGCTTGCAATGGAAGAAGACCCTCTGTAGGCCACCTCAAAGTTTTTTTGTGTATAGCGTATGCCTGTGTATCAGATCAACTCAAAAAGAACATTGATGACAAAGGAGAGAAGTGCATCTTCATTGGTTATAATACCAACTCAAAGGCGTACAAGCTTTACAACCTAATAAAAAAGAAGATAATTATCAACAAAGATGTGACATTTGATGATGAAGAAATGTGGATTGGTCTTCTAAAGTCCAAAAGGAGCATGTGATAATTCTAGAAAACTATGAAGAGGAGAATGATCATATAGATCCAACACCGAATGAGCTAGAAAGATCAAGCATACCACAGAGGCAATGGAAACTACCAACCAAATTAGAGGATTATGTTGTGGCTAATAACAGTGACCAATCTTATGAAAAATTTATTAATTTTTCTTTGTTTGTAGATTGTAAGCATGTAACATTTGAAGAAACTTCAAATAATCAATATTGGAGAAAAACAATTGATGAAGAATTCATGTCATTGAGAAGAATCAAAAGTGGGAGCTAATAGACTTACTAGCAAATAAAAAGTCAATTAAAGTAAAATGAGTGTGCAAAACTAAGTACAAACTTAGTAAAGAAATTGATTACTTCAAAGCAAGGTTGGTAGAGAAAGGGTACAAACAAAACCTATATATTGATTATAAAGAAAAGTTATATATTGATTATTTTGAGGTATTTATCCCTATAGTAGTATTAGATACAATTCATATACTTATCTTTATATCAACTCAAAATAATTAAAAAAATTATTAAATGGATGTTAAGTCTACTTTTCAAAATGGTACTTTGGAAGAAGAAATGTATGTTGAACAACCTACAAAACATGAGATTGAAGGCAAAGAAAATAAAGTCTACAAGTTGAAAAAACTATTGTATAGCTTAAAAAAGGCACCCAAGGAGTGGTACAAGAAGATTGATTTATACTTTATACATAATGATTTTCAAAGATGTCCGTTTGAGCATACTATATATATCAAAGTTTTTGAACTTCATGATATTCTTATTTTGTACCTTTATGTCGATGATTTAATCTTTATTAGCAACAATCCAAAGATGATTGTAGAATTTAGGAAGCCATAATTAAATGTTTTGAGACAGATTTGGGCCTAATATCATATTTTCTTGGCATTGAGATTATTCAATAGATTAATGGAATTTTCATATCTCAAAGGAAGTATGCTATAGACATTTGAAAGAAATTCAAATCAATTCAAAGACAATTTTAACACCTATTAAAGAAAAATTGAAGCTGAAAAGAGATGGTGATGAAGAAGGGTTGATTCAACATACTACAAGAATTAATTGAAAGCCTTAAATATTTGATTGCCACTAGACCAAACATTGTATTTGGAGTTGGAATACTCAACAATTCATGGAAGAGCCACAAGTTTCTCACTTGCAAGGAGGAAAGAAAATTCTAAAATATATCAAAGGTACTTTGAATGAGAAGAAATTTTTATGCCAATAATAATGATGTGAAACTTGTTGGATACACTAACAATGACTAAGCAGGAGATATTGAGACATGGAAAAACATGTTAATACACACATTTCATCTTGACATGGTAGTAGTATCATGGTCCTTAAAGAAATAATCAATAATTGCACTCTCAATAACCCAAGTAGAATATATGGCTATAACAAGTTATGTTACACAAGCAATACAAATGAGAAGAATGCTGGAAGTGATGCATTATATGTAAGACACTCTCACAACGATATTTTGTGATAACAAGTTTGCAATTTTCGTTTACAAAAATTCAATTTTTTATGGGCGGTCCAAGCACATAAACATTCAATTTCACAAAATTATTTGAGAACTAGTAGTTGAGAAAAAAGTAGTGATTAAGTATTATCTCACTACAAATCAAATTGCAGATATTTTTACAAAACTATTTAAAGCTAAATTAATTTTTAAGCCAAAGAAAGTGTTTAGAAGGATACTAGCTTGATTTAGGAGAGATAATGTAATAAAATATTAGATCAAATTATAGTAAGTAGGCGCCCAGTAGGGATGAGAATGGACTAGACTGTCTATCGGGGGCCTATGGCCTAGCCTATTTAAGGCTTAATCCGGCTCGGCTCATTTATTAAAAGGTTCAGACTTAGATTTTCAAAAAAGCCTATTTAAATAAAGAAGTCAGGCTTAAGCTTTAAAAAAATCCTTTTAAGCCTATTAGGCAGGCCCAATTAAATAATTATACTATTTTATAATTTATATTTATTTATAACAATTTAATATAAATATAATTGTCTAAAAAATGATATTATATATATATATGTGATGTACCGTACAAAAAAATATTAATTAGAATTTTATACATATTAATATACATAACATAATTTAGTATGTAATCTATAATAATATAATTATTATAATTATACAATTAGAGTGCCAAAATTAAAATTTATTGTTAAAAAAACCTATTAATTAAATCTTTGTCTGATTTCTAAAATATCTCAATTTATTATTAAAATTTATTCTTTCCTAATTATTATTCTAGTCTTTTTAATTTCAATATTTTTCAACTTCTTAACTCTAATATAATTCTTAAAAGTCATGACTATATAAATTAAAAACAAAAGTTTTGTGTGTCACTTTCCTTCCCTTTATCTTTATTGTAACTTATGATTGTCTGTGGTGATGTCGTCATATATGCATTTTTCAAGTCATTTATGTATTTTTTTTTTGTTGCTAAACATAATATTTAAATATAATTATTTATAATATGTTTTCTATTTTATTAATAATAAGCTTTTTGGTTTGCTAGTCCGTTAGTTATTAGTTTATTAACCTATTAACCCATTAAATTTAAATTATTAGTGTTATTCTAAAGCCTTATTATTAAATAAGCTATTGAATGTCAGGATTATAAAAAAGTTTAAGTCAAGCCTAAAAATTTGGCTTATATCAAGTTATAGACTTAGATTTAAGCTCTAATTTTATGTAATAAGTCAGGTCCATCCAGCTTACCTCAACCTAATTTATTTTCATTCCTAATGCCTAGTATATTTTCTACCTTAAAATAAAACTTTTATATTAAGTAATAGATATTTATTAGAAAAAATAAAAATAAAAGTCAACCATACAAAATCTTACGCTGCACATAAATTAATGCTAATGTTATAAATTATTTAGAGTTGCTATCGAATATTAACAAATAGTTAAATATTAAAAAATGTATCAGCGGTTGAAAGCATTCTTCGTAAGTTTACTATATTTTATTTTATTGTATTTCTACTTATACATAAGAGGAATATGATTAAGGTCTCATAATATTAAAAAATAATCAATCGAGTTATAAAATTTGATTTTGTAGCAGATCCTTTCTCTCTCATGTCCGCTGCGAATGTGTATTTAATTTTTATAGGTCTCTTCGATAAGTTTATTAACATTTGAGTACCTAATTGGTAGGACTGCAATTTAGGAGATTATTGAGATAATTTTAAAAAGTTATGTCCGAGACTTGTTATGGGAGAGAATAATTTGTTGAATAAATTTTAAAGAAATATATATAACAGTAGGAGGAACGGACATGACAGGGTTGATACATGCGTGAAGAAAAATTGACGAGATGGAAGGAGGGAAACGAGGGGCGATTCTGATAACCAACGACGACGGAATCGATGCCCCTGGCTTAAGAGCTTTGGTTCATTCGCTGGTGAACACTAATCTCTTCAACGTTCTAGTTTGCGCTCCCGATAGGTAGGTATTAGGTAATGATATCCTTCGATCGCAACCTTTCCATTTCCATTCAATTCAATTCAATTGCTTGTGTTTGGAGCATTCGCAGTGAGAAGTCAGCAGTTAGTCACAGCATCACCTGGCTCCATCCAATCGCTGCCAAGCAAGTAAACATCGAAGGCACAATCGCCTTTGCCGTTTCTGGTAAGTTTATGTTCCATTTCATGCTTTTCACAAAAACACTGTTTCACTTTACAAATCACTGTTACGTTTTCTTTGCAGGCACTCCCGCCGATTGCACTTCTCTCGGAATTTCCAAAGCACTCTTTCCTACGGTGCCTGATCTGGTACCTCCTTTTCCATTTTAGTTTTGGATTCTAAGTTATCGGATTTTGGAAGCTTTTATTTATTCATTTCTATAGAGAAAGTCATCTGCATATATTATCTATTTGATTGAGCTATGCTAAATAAATAAATAAAATCCAACTGGTTGCTGATGCGCGTTAGACCCATTTTCACAGGTAGTCAGTGGCATAAACAAGGGTAGCAACTGCGGTTATCACATGTATGTAGCATATTTTTCTAACTATCGATGATTCCTGTTCCATTGACTCCAAATGGCTGTTGGCATTATCGTTCTAAGCTTTGAAAAGATAGTGATGATTCCTGTTCCTTGAAATTTGAGATGCACTCAATTATGGTTGACATGATATTTCTTCCACTATATTAGCTTCAGTATTTATTACTCCATGTACTGAGTAGGTTCCCTTGCAGTGTATACTCAGGCACTGTAGCTGGAGCTCGAGAGGCCTTCTTCAATGATATACCTTCTATCTCCATTTCATATGACTGGTATGGTATATTCGCAATGTGCTTCTGGTATGGTATATTGCTGGATTTGTCTTGGATATTTGTTCTTAATGAATTTTTAAACCATTTTGTTAGCTAATAATTGTGACTGATAACTGAATGAACGCCTTGAATAATGTGGCTTTTTTGTTCCAACAAGCTTTCATTTTTATCCTACTATAGCAACAGCTTTCCATTTACCTGTTTGACCATTTGGAGGTTACTTTCTGTCCAGGGTTAAAGGAAAGAGTGACATACATGACTTCACCCTTGCTGCACAAGTATGCATACCTATCATAAGTGCTGTACTTGTTGAGATAAAGAATCAAAGCTACCCTAACAGATGTTTTTTGAATATAGATGTGCCAAACAATGTTGCTAGCCATAAGGTATTTTGTAATTATTTTTGCAATCTGTATGCTTACCTTGGGTTAAATGATTAATATGATATAGCCAAATAGACTTGTTTTGTAGATTAATCATCAAATTTATGCTAAGATGAAATGAATATGATTTAGGATAAAGGGGGTACATGAAAATGATATGTTGTTTTTATTACTTTGTTTTAATTTCTCAGGAATTATTTTAAAATTTTTTATTTTAATTTTCAGTAGTTTTGCAATAATAATTGTAGAATTGGAGTTTTATTTGGATGCAGTTTGGATTAGACAAGTCAAAAAAGATTGCTTTCTTGCTAGCATAGTTTAAAGTGAGGAACATATTTTTTTTCCCATTAATATTGTTCCAAGTAGATTTAGAGGTCAAAAGTTTTGTGCAGACATAATTTACTATAAAATATTATAGTGCTGAATAATTCATGTAGCTGGACATGCTTGGGAAAAGTCTTAGTTGTTGTTTTAAATATTGTTCCTAGTATTTTCCTTGTTTTTAGGTAGCTCTAGAGTTTGTGTATTAAAATTTTGTTTATTTGCTACTATTGCTAGAATGATACCAAAAACCTCTCATAGTTATATACGACGCCATTAGGTTTTGGTCAAAAACCAAGATTTCAAAAATTTCCATCCTAGTATAAGTTAAAAATTGAATAAATTCAAAGAATTGCTTCCCTCACTAACCTTACTGTAAGAATATATTGCTTTGTCATGCAACCAATTATAACCGTTTATTGGTTGTCTTATGTGCCTCTAAAAAAGGGTTACAAGCTGACCAAGCAGGGTAAAAGCATCGTCAAGATGGGATGGAGGCAAGTCACCTCTGAGATAGAAGGACGGAAAATGTCATCTGATATGACCAATAATACAGATACAGAAACACCAAAAAATTTGGACTCATCATCTGAATCGCCAGAACATCTTTTATTTGTGAGAGAGGTGGATTAATTTCCTTGATTCTATTTTTTTATTTGCTCAAAATACTCCCATTGTTCTAAATCCTATTCATCTTAGTCTTGTCTTGAAATATGCTCTTATTAGCCTGATTCTAAACAACAGAGTGGAGATGGTAAACATTCAGTTTTGTCGACTTTTTAAGTAGATTTGTAAAAATATATGGAACACTGCACAATCTTACTTGGATGGATGGACATTCCCTAATCCTTCCCTCCTCTGTTCCCTGAGGAAATTGATATAGTGATCTTTTAACTTTTTCAGGTAAGAAGTTCTGTGCTTGATCATGATGATACGGACCACAGATCTTTGCAGGAAGGATATGTGAGTATTTAGGGATATGGAAAAAAATTTAAACTAATTGAATAGACACATACTAAGCGATGTCATTTTTTCTAGATTACTGTCACTCCTCTAGCAGCTCTCTCTAACGCGGATGTAGATTGTCAGGCCTATTTTAAGAATTGGCTACAAACTGTCCCTGAACTCCCCTCTTCATCAGCTTTATAATGTTGTAAGACCAATCATGTATCTGTATTTTATATAACAGCTTTGATTGCTATATATTGCTAGCAATAGCTGCATTTACATTTTTGGCGCACTTGCTAGTTAAGAATGATTATTCATCTGAGATGCATGCAATGCCTATGTACTTGAGGGACAGTCATATATTATAGGTACTTGAGTGACAGTTATTGATTCATGGCTTTTATGTCATTCCATGTCAATTCAATTACTACCAAGAGTCCGTTTGATATCCCTAGGAGTGAAAATATTTGAATGGGTTTTTTCATGCAACTTTATTAAGGGCATTGACCCTAAATTTGCATCATCAATGGCAACTTTTCTTGTCAACAGGCAAACTCGGGAGTATAATCAAGCAAGTCAATGTATAAGTTGAACACTTGTCTATTAAGATACAACCTCAAGAGAGGAACGTGCATACTTCCTCTTGTGAATGTGATTCCTTGTGTGCCAATATTACAATCTTAGTCTTGATGCAGCCATTGTGCAGGAACCCAATTTGTGACGATATGCATAATATAAGGCATTGCTACTTTTCTTCATGTGGATAAAAATAATGATAATATTCTTGGCAGAACGGATATGCAAGTAATAAAAAATGTGATCAGAAGCAGGACAAGAATATGTCAGTTTTCTTTTATCTAAGTACAAAAATTATCGAATAGCAGCGTATTGATACGTCATCACCCGTTGAACATTTTGTGGGGGTGGCTTCAAATGTTATGGTGAATACTTTTGGCCTTTAAATAAGGAGGGACAATGTTCAAATTCTTAGAATTTGGCTCTTCTAAAGTTATTTCACTTCAAAGAGAAAAATAAGGAATCTCAACTGTACTAAGATTTATATAAATCCATGATTTGCTATGTATGTGTACGCAATATCAACCAATGGTTTTCTTATCTACGATTACTTAACCCTAGCTTTTCCTAAAAAAAGAGTACACTTTAAATGAGTCAAATCCAAATTATTATTGCGCTTGCATTATCAAGCATTTAGACGTGTACATTCTGCCCGTACATATCAGTTTCAATGCAAAAGTCAAATTTTGTACCCTGTGTAGCTCATATTAGTTGGCTTTCGTGACTCCCAGTTTAGCATCATTTGTCATGCGATCAATTATAACATCACATCACCTACCTTTTTTCAGGGGTCGTGACTTGTGAAACCTTTTCTTTGCAGTTACTCTGGTTCACTGGAAGTGATGTCAACTCAACCTGCTGCTAAATCAATTATTTAGATCCTGAGCATTTGTTTGCTCCGCTATGCATGTCATTGCTCCGTTATTTTCTTAGGGCAATGAAGACATTTCAGCACAGTTTGTTATATAATTGAATGAGAAAGATTATTTTCTGGGAGCTAATAAATAACACATCACTCATTTTTCGATTGATATGGTATCGATTCTTCTCTTTTCATTTTCATCCACACGAGCTGCTCAAGTTATTGCTTGACTAAATAAAAAATTACTCTATATCAATCTGATGAAATTCATATTGCCTTTTTTATTTACATAGATGTATTGTTCATGTTTTCCGACGACATGGAGTTGCTAAGCACCCTGACCAATGAAGATAATTTTATTTGTTGCCTATGATCGCTGTAGATTTAACTCATGATGAATATTTCTTCAATGAAATTTACTACCCTAATGTGTTTCCCATGGATCCTTGTCACTGGTTTTAAAAGGTGCCTCTTTTTTCCAATATTTTCTTGTAGCTTAATTTAAAAGACATCGCTGATAAGGACCACTTGTAGTTATCATAAAGTTGGATGAAAAGTAGTGGCAAATTCTATTTTGTACTTGAAATTTTAGATGACGGCCTTTCATGGCTGAACTATTCACAGTTTTCTAATATCTACATGTTTGAAATCCGTGAAGCATGGGATGCGAATTCTCTCCCCGCTGCACTTTGCAACGAGGAGAGAATCCAGGGGTAAAGCATCGGGAAAGGGTTTGAATACGTTGTACTTATTGCCCCTAAGCCTGATATAGTATTTGGGGAACTAAATTTGCAAATCCTGTAACAATTATAAGAATTTTTAAAAAAAAAAATTGTTTACCTGAAGATTAGCTTCGCTGATAACCTTACATTCTTCTGCACTGGCTTCGGAAATCCAAACATTAGAAAGTATTCTTGCTTAGAATGTTAAACGAGTTTCAGCCTCATAGGTGTATCAAGTATATCAGTTTCCCAATAGGCTAATTTTTAAACAAATTTTAAAAATGAAATGAAATTTGACTACATTGTGAATTAAATTGGCTGCTGCTTTTGTTCATACATCATGGCAATCTACTAGGGGAGTTTGGTCCTATCATTGTAGGTCTCCTTGTACAGAAAATAAGTTCTCATCAGAACAAAAATTAAAATATCATAACGTTATTTTTATTTAAGAGATTTTTCACCAAATCAATGTTGACGGATATGATATTATTACCATTTAGAAAGACTGGGACGATGATACAAAAGGACAGATTTAGAGGTGATTTCATATGCATGAAAGGCTAATGTAGTGAACAAAAATCTTGCAAGGATTAATATAATGATTTTGATATTGGAACACTAATTTAGTAAACAAGTTTTTAAAGAAACTAACTTTGTCACATTCTAATTCTAATATATATAATAATGTACTCCATTACTCCTTACATGTATTTAAAATATGAGAGTATATTATTATCCACAAATGCTAATAATATATTCTCACTTGATTTTTAAGTGTATTTTAACAAGCTATACATGTATTTCAACAAATTTAAAATTTATGTTTATATACTTTTTCTAAAAGAAAAAGACAAATGAGAGTGTATTGACAAAACAGTAGTTGTGCAAGCGTATCACACACTCGAACTCGATTCTCTTGCATTATACATGATATGTAAGTTGTGCTATCCATTCCAAATAGCTTTCACGCGTCAACATCAATAAGGAAGATAAGGGAACAAACTACCATCTCAACTGCTCAAAATAGACACCTTACCGATTAAAACCCTTATTGAGGACTTCTTTAATTTGCTTTTTAAGGATAATTACTCTTATACTACGCTGGTTCCTTCCCCCTACTGGTTTTGAAAGCATGTACATATTAAAAGCATTTAAGGACCAAAATAAACGATGGATATTTAATAAGAAGCTCTTAATGGATGTTTTATAAGACACCAAAAAATCAAAGGATGAGAATCATTCTATGTGTCGATGCTACAAAAGTTTAAAGGAAAAAATAAAAGGAAAATTAAAAAGAAAAAAAAAAAAACCACCCTGTGTATGAACATCATAAATATTTTATGTACATTACGGGCCTCTTATGGATTCTGTTTTGTGCATAACCCTCATCTTTTGGATGGCAAAGAAGGTGAATGTGATTCCACTAGTATTGACCACAGGACGTGCACGTCTTCATAGGGGCAAGATTTGACATCTTCATACAGAATGTATATCCCTCTTCCTGAAATGTTTAGGCAAAATTGTGAAAAACATTTATATGAGTGTGAAGAAAGAAGATAATAAAAGATGCCCACACCTAGCAAGAGAGGGAGAAGTTGAGAGTGTTCGAAGAATAGAAGAAGCTTTGTATTAGACTTTGTAGTAAAAACAGTGTGAAGAAGAGGAAAGGACACAAGCATTTGTGTGACAACTAGCTAGCATGAATAAGAGAAAACATTGATAATGCAGCTATGGAAAGTGTGATGGAACCGAACGTACTCTTCTTTTGAGTAGAATGCAACCGGAACCAAATCTTCTTGAGAGGAGAGAAGAGGGATTGCAGCCACCCCATTTGGTGAAGTGGGTGTGGCTCATGCAAACTGAAGGGAAATAATAAGAAGAGGGTAAGAGACATAAAGAGGAAACAACCTCTATAAGGTTTGCTTAAACAAGGGTGAAGATTTTGCTCGGTCGCTTTTCATGTTTTTGGGACATTTTTACATTCCCTTACAGGCCAATCATGAAATTCACATTTGTTGTTGGTACATTGTCCCTTTCAAGCCTCTTATCCCTTACAGAAGAAAAAGAAAACACTCAACCAATCAACTTTGCATCTCACACTTCCACCACCAAAAAAAGAAAAAAAAGAAGCCTCTGAGTATCCATTTTCGCTTTCCCTAAAGAGTGCGTGGCTTATGCATGAAGATACACTTGCTTATTTTCACCATCATTATTATTGGTGTTAAAAGGCACACATTGGGAAGGTTTCCTATTTTGACACATAGGCCCTCCTCTTGCATTTCAAGCAAGTACAATCTTCCTTTTTATGAGTCTCCAACAAGCCTTTGTTTCATGTTAATCCACCTGTACCACTAGGGTGCCTTACAAGAGTTAAGACCCAACACAATATTACTGATGAATGCCATTGCCTTGCTGACTCAGCTTCAACACGTCACTCCCATGGATGATTTGACTTTACCTCAGATTCCATTAGAGTTGCTTTATTTTCCTCCCCTCTTTCTTTTTTTATTTTGCATCAGACTTTTGGTCTTGAACCCAAACATGAATGAATGATAAATGGTTGGTAGGTACCAAACTTCCCAAATTACCCAACATCTTAGTATTGAAAAAAGTTCAAAAATTTGGGAGAAAATATATTAAAAGCCTACCAATTCACAGTTGAACTGCTAGAACAGTAGAAAAATAAAAAAGGGCAATTTTTTATATTATATTATATTATATATTGAAACAAGGTAAAATAATAGAAAAGCTAATATATTTTCCCATGTTAATCCTGTTCAACTCTTTCTTTCCTTTTCAAAAATAGTTTGCTTAATATACACAGCAGTTTTATCCCAACTCAATTTTTTAAGAGGAACCAATGGGTCAATTCACCGTCCAACCAATATGCAAACTGATCGGTTTAAATGTTTAATCTTATTTTTAAAATGATGATACGAACTCAGGATTATTGATTATCATGCCACTTGTTTCTACATTTCAAGGTTCAATTTTTTACAACATTTTTATGCTTGAGAGTAGATTAATCTATTTTACATTTTTCTGCTTAAGAGTTGTATATCTTTCAAATTAAATATTATTATCTACCTTTTTTACCTTAACATTCCCTTTTCTATTTTTTTAAAAATATCCATAGCTTTTGTTTTTAACTGTTTATCCTTTTTTTTAATGAATTATTAAACGAAGCTTTTATAAAAGCCAATTCAAAGTTATCTTAAAACAATTTATTTTCACTTTAGAAAGAAGTAAATATACAATTTCATTCCAAAAAATGACAACATGTGTTGATTTGGTCTTTGAAAGTGTTCCTCCCTTAGCTGTCTTCTAATCTCCGATCAGGCGTCCTGCTGCTGATTTGATGATAAGGAGAATACCTGCAAAAGGT